GGAGCAAATATGAAACAAATATTTCTGATGATCGTGATCCATTTGGGTGCTAGATCCAACTTAAGATTTGTTTGCACTTTTAGATTACCATGGGAAAGATAATATCTAGCCGTTGCCAAGAGTTAACAGACATGATTACCAACAGACTTCTGTCATTTAAGCTGCCTGGGGAGGAATACACCACCATCAGCAATGACCTACGATCTATTTTGCTCGGTAAAGAAGAGTCAATGGACATGAGTCTGTTAAAACTCAGAAATGGGGAAGCCAGTTTTCAGTTCCCCTTTATAAGTACCAGTACGTTGGAAAATTGGCTTGGCAACGTCTTTGAGGTTGGAATAGAGGTGTGTAGTTGTTGTTGCAAGGAGTATATGGGGATGGTAAAAGCTTTAATTTTAATTTAATAGACAGACACACAGACAGACTCCTTTATGATTAAATTTTAAGGCTCAGGGTTGTCCTTTCAGGCGCGTGAAAGCAACCTGCTATCAATAAAGGCCCCGAGCACAGTTACCTAGGACTACCAAAACATGAAATTGCATAAAATTAATGTTTACACATGCACACGATTTACATTTTATACTTAGAATTAATGTTTACACATGCGTGAGATCAACATTTTATACTCAAAATTTATGTTTACACATGCATAAGATTGACATTTTACACCTAGAATTAATGTTTATACAGTATATTATCATCTAGAAAAGTAATTAAAAACATGATATTGTGTAAATAATTTATTTATATCTCCTGTAAGATATGTTAGTTATCTTTAAAAGCCGACAGGATAACAAAATGACCGTAACAGAAGGTCTTTTTTTACCTTCCCTTTCCTTCCCCCTTGCAACACACCTTAAAACTTTCTAACAGGTTAACGCTGAGGATCAATTGGATCTTTTGAAATAATGCAAGACAGCTCTTTATAATCCGTCTCACTCACCTGAGAGGGTTCCGTAGTTCAGTCGGAAGGCAAAATAGGAAAAATTCGGCTGGACCTCTAGTCCTTAAAAGAGAATAGCATTTATTTTTCGCTTTATCCTCCTGACAAGTATTAAACTGCGTTAATCTTATGATAACGTCTTTTTCTACCTTCCAGATGATCTCCTATAATTTTAACCCATATATGTCGGACAGCAGCAGCCAGAGAATAAAATCAAAGGTTGTCAGCCTTGTCCTGAAGGATAACACTGGGAAAGCTCTCAACACAACAAATCTACTGTCGGATATAGAAATTGATATTCCAGTATCAAATTATCATCCCGAAGACAGCCCTCGACCGGATCATTTCCTAAACCCTAGAAGGATGCAGTATCACGTGATAATCGTGCGTGAGGTCAATAATACCATGAAAATGACCATTACGACAGAAGCAACAGCTTCTATTACGGTCTATGTAAAATATGCTGAGCAGCCAACAGAGACATCATACGATATGGTGATTAACTTATCCGATGAGAAAAGATTAAACAGCAGAAACGACGACTGTGAATTCAGAGGGATTTGTTCCCACAGTATCGTCATGAAATGCAGATATTCGGGCAAATATTACGTTGGCTTGTGGAAGAACAGTGAATCTCGAACAGAATTGTCAAAGTCAAGAGGTAGACGATCCATTCTGCCAAAGCAAGCGATGCGAGAGAAGTGCGTAAGGTTCAAGGATCCCCCACCAACAGTTGCTCCTCAAGTAGAGTATGTCAGTCTTGTCCCTCAGTACGACTTTGATAAGTCAGTTAACTACAGTTTACAAGTGGAGACAATCTGGTGTGCATTTTGGTCTGATACTGAGCAAAGATGGACAAGCAAAGGATGTAAGGTGAGGAAGCATAGAATGAGTCATTCAATAACAAAAAGAGACAATGTAATGCATCCCAAGCCGTGTAACAGAAGTCTTTAAAATATTGGTTTTCAGCTATTGGAATGTTTTGGAGATAGAACAAAGAGATTTAAAGACACTTAATGTATTCACTACGTCAACCTTAATGTTTAAAAGCGACAAAGATAACAACCACAGCGTTTCTTATGGGTATTCT